CCAGTGAATGTAGCGGTGCAAGCGGTTCACGAGATCTCAATTGCACAGCGAGGTGATCGCGAGATACAAAGGCTAACTCTCCCAGTTTGCGCCTGAAGTGCTGGGTTCTCTACTGGAAGTGTACATTTCCAAGCCTACTAATCACCTGTCGTCTCCTATGAACTTGGGACTTTTGCGTATTTTCCGCGTAATTTCATTACTGCCAATTTCTTTCACATCATAAAGGAACATAAAACCTGAGCGTATCCAAAAACATTCACTTTGTACGTCGTAAGCAACCTTAATTACAAAGACTAAATCCTTTCAACTACAAAGATAAATCAAAAGTCGTACCCTATAATCTCCTAATCGAGGAACATTGTGAGCCACACTGAAGATAGCTTCATCGATAAGAGATGCTAGAATGGCAGATACTCGCTGATCTTCTGAATCGTATCTAGTCGAACTCAGAATAGCGCGCAAACATTCCTGTGCAGCTTTCTAAATAAAAGTGAAACACGAGTTGCTGATTAACATCTAAACTTTTATTCATACAGTGAAAACAGGGAAATAAGAAAGAAACTTTGACTCTTTACACATGAAATTAAGATTATCTTCCCTCTTCAAGCAAAAACATTGAAAGGATGGAAAAGGTCAGATCTATGGTCGTTACATGACGTAACGGAGCTTCTCTCCCCCCTCTCCCCTTCTCCGCGTTATTTGCGAAGTCAGTACAAGTTTTCGCATTACCTCAGCTTTTAAGAACTAGATATGCGGTGCGCAATCTCTCAAGTATAATTTAGGATCCAATACTAAGCAATACGAAAAATCGAAAACTCGAAAAACGTAACTATTTGATTTTTCGGGTCTAGCATTCGAAAAGATGCATTAATACACTATTTAAACAGTCGTATTTCGGAACATCAATATTCGAATATTCAAATTAGTTTTAAATTAAATTGAATAATATTCATTCGTTCGTATACCTGTAGAATCTCACATAATCGTTCGCTCGAAGAAAAAATTTTGGACATGGTTGTGGCCAAAAAATCATGTTCGAATGGAATATCATATACAAAAAAAAGAACTATGTGACCAAGGAAGGATAGATGAAACCTAATTTTGATTGGAATAATAATCGAGTGATATCATCATTTCTGACAGTCTAATAGTCGAACATTCGAAAAAGCACAGTAACTGAACTACTCGAATATTCAGAAATTCGGTTATGCTCAACTATTCGATGGTTTGTATAGGCAGGACCTCCAGTTTTAAAATGAGCAGATAGATTTTGGAACAGCCATTCAAAAATTATTGATTCGTTTGAGTATGTTATTTACAAATGCATGCTCGTAACCTGCCTTCTAAAAAATTCTTCAGATGACAATTTCACAATAATCTGATAGTAAAAAGATATCTGAATTGCTACCACCCAAAAATATCTAAAAGAGAAGGTTACCAACTTCGTAACTTGCTGTAGGTGGAACAAGTCCACTGTAATAATTATCCAGCGTCGATTCCACCAAGCGTGTTTTCGTGAGGTATTGATAGTATCTCAGAACATCAAAGTATGCCGGCACAAGAGGGAGTGCCCAAGCTTTTCTAGTTGACATTAGTGCTGGATGCCATGCTCTAAAAGTTGCAAATTCAACTCTGCCGCGTACATCCTACTCCCTTCCTGTCTCCGGAAGTGAAAGCTTACCGATGCCACGTCTGCTCCGGTCTAGCCCAGGGCCGTTCGTATGGACTGACAAAATCGATCTTCTCCTTTATTGTCGGAAGCTGGTTAACTAATTCCGCAGTCTTGTAGTAAT